GTAAGCATCAGCACTTTGAAGTCGATGCGGAATCGGATGGGCAGCCAATGCAATGCGGCCAGAGTGGGTGAAATGTGTTGGTATTTTTTCACACTGCTGAGGAGTCTGGCCGCAGCATTCTGCACCACCTGAAGTCTCCGCAGCAACCTCAAAGGCAGCCCCACGTAGAGCGTGTTACAGTGGTCTAATCTTGAGATTACGAGCGCATGCACCAAGGTAGTGAGGGCCCCAACATCGAGATAGGGCCTCAGCTGGGCTATCCGCCTAAGATAGTAGAAGGCGGTTCGGACCACGGACACTACCTGGGTTTCCATAGTAAGCTCGGAGGTCTTCCTCTGCCGCCGATAGTTTCCATAGTAAGTCCAGATGGATCCCCCAAGCTGCGGATCCCATCCTTGGCAGGGAGGGTCACCCCCCCAAAAGTGAGGGAGTTTCCCAGACCCCCAACTGTGGGGGCGCCCACCCTCAGTACCTCCATCTCTCCCTACCACTGCCTGGAGCAGTTCCAGGAGCAATTGGAAGGATGAGTGAGGCCGCCACCGCCACTGGACGCATGAGTGGATGGGCCAGCTGCAGGGGCTGGCTCTTTGGTAAGTCCAGCTGTGTCGGGCTATACGTATTTGTATATGAATACCCCCATCTCTAATTTTGATTATTCTATGTTTTTATTCATTTTTTCCTTTCCTTTGTTTCCCCCAATTCTTCCCTTCCTTGGAATAGCATGTGATTAAGCTACCACCTACCTTCCCAGCAGCCTGTGGAATATGAAATTGATTTTTATTATTTTTAAGGCGAGGCCCCCAATTCCCAACTCGGAGAGCCTTCCCAGGAGGATACCGTGGTCAATGGTATCGAAGGCCGCTGAGATGTTGAGGAGGACCAACAGGGCATTAATTCTCCATACAGGAGAGCTTTTGGAATCTGACCGTCTACTATTCTCATGACATGCCCAAGCCAATGTAGACATCACTGTTTCAGTAATGTACAATATAAAACAATTCAATACAGTGGTGCCTCGCATAGCGACGATAATCGGTGCAGCATATGCGATATTAAAAAGCCCATAGGAATGCACTGAAACCCCTTCTATGCGTTCCTATGGGCATCAGACTCACCTTTAAGCGAAAATCCTCCATACGGCGGCCATTTTCGCTGCCTGGTAAGTGAGGAATCCGTCCCGGAAAACAGCGGGCGGCCATTTTTTTACCCAGTGGCCATTTTGGAACCACCGATCAGCTGTTAAAAAAATCATCACTTTGCGATGATCGGTAAGCGAAACGGTACCGATTGTCGCAAAGCAATTTTCCCCATTTAAAACATCGCAATGCGATCGCAAAAGCAATTGCAAAAAGTTAATCGCTATGCGATTTCGTCGTTAAACGGGGCGCCCGTTAAGTGAGGCACCACTGTATTTCAAAGACCTTAAAAGCCAAACATTAAGACTCAATAAGGAAACCTTCACAGCCTAATAAAGCCACAACCCTTCATCCCCACCCCAAAGGCATGTTTTAGCTTGATGCCGAAATGAGATTAGTGGTCATACCAGTCAAGTTTGTAAGGGGAGGGCATTCGGAAGATGAGATGCTACAGCTGAGAAAGCCCTTCAACCATCTCTCTTTCTGCATGGTGGATCGTTCTCCATGGCAGGACATAGAGGTGTTTTCCTCAGTAGATCTTAAAACGATTGGGCAGGTCTATATAGGTAGAGGTGTTATCTTAGGTACTGTATTCAGGTTCCAAGCAATCCATCTCCATTTTTTGACCTTTTCCTTCAAGTTTTTGGTCTTGTTTTTTTCACAGATGGATGGAATTTCAAAAACCCCTTTCCCCTCTTTAATTCCTTTATATTCTTTAATGAGTGCAGTGCAGAAAGAAATAAGTCAATCTGTAAACCACAAGGGGAAAAAACAGAATTCAGAGAATGGTAAAGCATGTATTGGCGAGCACAGTTACGAAGCAAAAGTGCTTTCCACCTGCTGCAGGGGTCTCGAACTCAATTTACCTGGGGGGCCGCTGGAGGCAGAGTCTGGGTGAGGCTGGGCCGCATCAGATTTTCCACCAAACGGAGCAGGAGCCTGAAGAAGCCGCCCAGGAGTTTCCTTAGCCTGGCTGGGGCTCCGAGGAGGAGGAGGGCGCGCAAGCCCTCGTCGCCAGCCA